AAAAGATCCATTTAAATTACAAGTCAGACTAGTGAATTTCAGCTTAACAGTTTGACAAATTCACTGATGTGAGTTCAGATTCTGCAGTGCAGCCAATCTTGATTTACTGCTTGTCAGCTCAATAGCACAACAGTTAGGGCTTAGGGAGCCAAGTCTCAGGAGGTAACTGTAGTTAGTCCCAGCCCCAGTGGCTTGACAAATGTTACAGGCATTGGTGTGTGCCTGCCCCAAATCCTGACCGGATGGGGAACTGGAGGGAGGATTGTGGTGTGACCCAAGCCCATTTGGGATGCTTTCTCTTTCTGGCTAGCACATGAGCCCTCTGGTAAAACAAAATAAAAAACCACGTGTTGAATTTTGGTGTCATATCAAAGAAGAATATCCACAATTATCTGAAGATGCTACTAAAATACTACTCTTTTCCAACTTGAATGAAGTCGAATTTTTTGTATATTTCAACCAAAGCAACTTAATATAATAGGTTAGTTGCAGAAATAAGATATGAAAGTAGAGCTGCCTTTTACTAAGCCAGACATTAAAGAGATGTACAGAATGTAAAAAGCTGCTTTTCTCACTGAATTTTAAAATTTAGAATATGTAGTTCCTTTTCACAAAATTTTGTTACTTATGTTAACTTATAATGGGTTTATGACTGTTATTTTAAAATGAGTTAATACAGACTTTAACCGTCTCAGTTTTCATTTCTGATATGGTGAATAATGATAGATACAATCCACATAAACAAAAGCTTTGTGGGGTCTTAATTTCTAAGAGCATAAGGAGATCATAAGACCTTGTTTGAGAACTGCTAACCCAAGTTCTTTGTCATTACAGAAGTTGGCTCACTATCACCACATACATATTCTAGCCAGGGCAAAGGGAAAGGGGAAGACAGACCTCTATTTTTTAATTTTTATTTTTTAGAGAAATTTTAGCTATAGGGTGTGTATGCTTTCCTGAGATACAGAGAGAGACAGAGAGAGCGAGAAATCACCCCCAAGGGTGTGTGGCCATGCCGCAATCCCTTCTCCTCCATTCTCGGGGTTTGGGGCAGACATGGACACGTGCCTGGCATGAGTTTTAAGCCTCTAGGTCTGGGACTCGAATGTGGTTGACTGTGTGGGAGTCCAGGACATAATCGTTAGGCCATTTGCTTTTCCTGGGCCTCTTGTTTTAAGGAAGATATTTATTGGGTTATCAGAAAAGTCATGACGTACTTTTTTATGTTATACTATGCAAAAATGCATCATGACTCTTCCAACCCAATATATCACTTTTGCACACATCCAATCACCAGAACCTAGGCAGAAGCTGCATGGCCACATATAGTTTGTCTTGATAGCCATCTGTCCAGCTGAGACTTCTTTTACTATAGGAGAACTGGAGAACCAGTACTGGCATTTCTATCTCCCATTGCTTGGTCTGGACAAAAACCAAAAGTAATAACTGCTATTTTTATGATGTCTTACAGTTTGTATAGTTTCTCATTTCATATCTCTAAAACTGGTAGTTTCTAGGTTCAAAGCTTAAATAGTAATCCAGGATTTACTAATGTATAAAGCGAGATAACCCTTTTTTTATTTTTTGGTAGAGGTTTTCACTATAGGGCACGTGCGCTCGCCAGGCAGACAGAGAGAGACAGAGAGACAGAAAGCGAGAAATCACCCCCCAGGGGGGATGGTCATGCCGCAATCCCTTCTCCTCCATTCTCCTCTTGGGATCTTGGGCACACACACACACATGCGCCCAGCGTGAGTTTTAAGCCACTAGGTCCAGGACGCGAACCGCGGTCGACTACGTGGGAGTCCAGCGACATAGCCATTACGCTAACTGCTGGTTCCCCCTTTTGAGCTTCTCTGTCCTCATTGTAAAAAGAGTTTGTATGACATACCTCACTTGTGTATTATTTGAGATCATGTATATGAAGCTTTTGGTCCATGGTGATTTTACATGAAAGGGATGCTTCTCACCCATTCTTCTCTCCTAACAGGGCCACTCCTGTATAAATATACATTTTATTAATAGTGACAAGGCCTTGTGATTAGTTGCTAAGCAAATGATAGATAATTGTTATGAATTCAGAGGTGGGCGAGATCAAATTAGACTGAAATAGTTATTAGCATCTGAACTTTTGAGTGCAGCTGGAAGGTAGTCATTTTGAAAAGCTGCCGGGTCTGGGACTCAAACTGCATGGGAGTCCAGCAACATAGCAATTACACTAACTGCTGGTCCTCATTTTTTTTTTTTTTCAAATTGAAAAACAAAGAGATTTTTCCTATAGGGTGCACTGGCTCACCAGAGAGACAGAGATGGGGAGTGAGAGATCACTCCCCAGGGGGGATGACCACAGTGCAATTCCTTCTCCTTCATTCTCCTCTGGGGTTTTGGGCATGCATGCGTAGTCTGAGTTTGAAGCCTCTGGGTCTAAAAATCAAACTGCAGTTGACTACATGGGTGTCCAACGACATAACCATTATGCCATCTGCTGGCCCAAAGTTATCTTTATTTTGAAAGACATATCTCCTGTGGCATGGCAGTCACCATGGTTTAGAACAGCACACTTTATCCTGGAATTTTTGAAAGTTAAAATACTAGAAACATTTCAACAATCAACATGAAAAAATATGAATTCTGTTAAACCGATCTTTAAAGCTTATTAATTGTGAGTTTAAAAAATACTTCTATATTATAAATGATAATAAAGATGACATAATTTATAATTTATCTGTGTATAATTTGTGTACTAAAGAATGTGACTGTTGGGGACCAGCAGGTGGCATGGTGATTAAGGGGCTGGATACTCCCACATGGCTGCCCACAGTTCGAGTCCTGGACCTGGTAGCTTGCTTTCTCACTTCCCCTCTTTCTCTCTCTCTCTCTCTTTCTGTGTCTCTCTCTGTCAAATTAAAAAAAAATGAATAAATAAATAAAATTTAATAAATATTAAAAAAAGAATGTGACTGTCATATGTCTTTTGTATTACAGTGTTAATTGCAGTTGGTTTATGCAGTAAGCTAAAGCAGCCTGTATTTGTTTATATATTTTTTTCTATTTGCCACAAGGTGCATGTACTTGCTGAGAAAGACAGAAAAGAGAGAGAGAGGAAGAGAAGATAAGAAAGCACCCTCCATGCAGTCCCTTCTCCATTTCTCCCTTTGGGACTCGGGATGTTCACAAATGGAACTGATGTGTTTCTCAAGCCACCACGTCCAGGACTTGAACTACACAGTCGGCCATGTGGGATCCAGCTGCCTTAACCACCATGCCACCAGCTAGCCCAGCAGCTTGTATTTAAAATTTGGTTGATTTGGATTTTTTTGTTTGTTTTTGCAAAAATGTTAATTCTATAAATATGCAAATATTTTCTGTTTTACAATTACTAAATAGTATAAACCTCTACATTTGAAAAAAAAAAGTTTCTCAGACATTTCTCTGAAAAATAAGTTCTTGATTTTTTTATCCCCTTCATTCAGGTCAAAGTTGGAAATTGTAATACCCCTAAGCCAAGCTTCTTTGATTTCGAAGGAAAGCAAAAATGGTAAGAAATTTTTGGAATTTTTTTTTTTTTTAAGTTTATTCATTTCTTCCTTGAGAAAAAGACAGAAAGACAGGCACCCTCAGCAGAGTCTTCTCACCATAGTCCACTGTAGTTTCAGCTGGCCTGCATCGTGGATAGGGATGTGCTGCACGCACTCTGCGTGTTCTGGAGTCCTGGGATGCAAACCTTCTCTTGTGGGTCCAATTGGGTTACCACTGCATCACCACCTAGCCCCAGAAATTCTTAAAATCCTTAATGAGTTTGTTGTAAATGGTCTAGGTATTTGGGAATTAGAAAGGAGTGAGTAGATTAAAGAATTATTTTTATATTAATCTCTACTTTATACTGTACTAAGGGCTGGTAATTGGGAAAGGGATTAAAAGAATCTCCTTTTAGCTAAGTCTCCTACAGGATTCTTATGCCGTGATGTTGGCTGTAAGTTGTTCACCACAGACGTCTGTTTCTTATGTATGAACACATGAGAGACTAACCATAACAGCTGTTGCTAGAGATTTCCCTTTCCTACCATATAGCCTCTGGTGGTTCTCTACTTCCCTCTGGAGAGATCTTTGAAAGGCCAAGAAGATGG